TCGCCGCCTTCGCCCTGAGCTCCTGAATGCAGCCAAGGCAGAATTCAACAGATTCCAGTAAGATGGCATCATTCGACCTTCAAAGAGTCCCTGGGCATCTCCTCTTCACATGGCTCCAAAGCCATCATCCAATGACTGGAGAATATGTGGTGAATACAGAGCCCTGAACTTCGTCATCAAACCTGACAGGTACCCTATTCCGCATATCCAGGACTTCCACCACAAACTCCACGGCACGACCATCTTCTCGAAGACCGACTTGGATCGTGCCTTCCATCAGATTCCAGTGGCACCTGGAGATATCGAGAAGACTGCCCTCATCACTCAGTTCAGTCTCTTTGAGTATGCCTACATGAATTATGGACTATGCAATGTAGCTCAGACCTTCCAGAGGTACATGGACCACATGCTTCGTGACCTTGAATTTGTCACTGTCTACATAGACGACATTCTCGTTGCACCTCCGACACCTGCCAAGCATCATCACCACCTACAGATCCTTCTCCAACGCCTGCAGAACAACAATGTGAAAGTTCATCCCACCAAGTGCGTCTTCGGAGCCTCCTCCATCGACTTCCTCGGTCACAGAGTCCCGTCAAGCGGCATCCAACCCCTACCACAGAAGGTAACTGCCATCAAGGAATTCCCCAAACCTGAATCAGCAAAGAAGTTCTGAGAATTCCTGGGTTTAGTCAACTATGTTACAACCTGCACACCCTCTTCTAGGACTCACTAGAGGATGTATAGTCAGCCCATAGGGCCAATATATCAGAAGAGACTGTTATAACAGCGTCTGTTAACAGAAGTTAAATGTTAAACACAGACCCTTACCTTATTTCTGGCTAACAACCTCCTGACAGCTGACAGGTGTTTATTTCAAGACCACTCTTCCCATTAAAACTGGTTTCATCAAAACAGCTTTAAAATTACAAAAAAATATATTTAACAACAAAATATAATAATTATGTGCTGTCCATCCATGTGCATACATAGGGCCACAAATCAATTCACTCAGAATAATGTTATCTCCAAATGCAGTGCTCTCACTAATACAATACTCTCTCAATAATACAATACTCTTTAGACTATATGAACATATTACACTTTACTTAACACCATAATTATCCATGATTGCCTAGATAATAATAGATAAATATGCACCACACAAGCTTGACCCTTCTATCCTCCTCAACCTAGCTATCGAGGCACTGCCAAAACCAAAACAATGTTCCAATAATTTCTTGTTTCATCAACATATAATTTCTATTTCTTTTTAAACTTAACACCTGCTTCTTACAGTCTTTCAAAACTGTATAAAAAATCGAAATACATTCTACAAAGTTTACATAATGAAACAAATACTAGTATACATACTTATATAAAATAATCAATACTTTTTTAAAGTCTTTACCATGAGCTTGGAATATCGATTCTAAAGAAAAACGGGAAACAACAAAACTAAATACAATGGGTAACTGAAACAAATATTGAGGGAAAGGGGAGATGACCGTAACAACTACTACCACTGCTTCATTGCCCAGGCTGCTAACATCCTCGCTCCTCTCCACGATCTTCTCAAGGGACTCCCCAAGACGTCTCACAAACGTCTCATATGAACTCAAAGAGGCTTTTACAGCATTCACCACTATCAAGCAGCACATCACACTCCTTACCCTGCTGGCTCACCCTGCCCCAACGCCCGGGCCACTCTCACAACAGACGCTTCTTCTACTGCCGTGGGCGCCGTCTTACAATAGGAGATCAACGGAGCCCTCATGCCCATTGCCTTCTTCTCACAGTGGCTTCAACCACCTCAACTCAAGTACAGCATTTCCAGCACTTCCTCAAGGCCCATCAGTTCACCATCTTCACTGATCACAAGCCCCTCGTCCACGCCTTTGTTTCAACCTCCCAGACACATACACTTCATGTTCTTCGCCACTTGGCGTACATCTCGGAGTTCACCAGCGACATCCAACACATCAAGGGCAGCAGCAGCGACATCACTGACATTCTCTCTCATTGTATATCCAGCATTCTTCCCTCATCTCCACCCATGGATTACAGATAGCTCGCCGTAGCTCAAGAGAATGACGAAGACCTTGCAGCATACAAGACATCTCCCTCAGGTCTCGCCCTCCAAGAACTCCCTGTTCCCAGCACGAACATCAAGTTGTGGTGTGACATGTCCTGTGGGCAGCCTAGACCGTTCTTGCCTCACATCCACCACCGCGCCATCTTCGACCGCATCCATGGTTTCAGCCACCCAGCGCCTTCTCATACAACGTGTCGTCTGGCCCGGCATTAAGGTTGATACTCGGAAATGGGCTGCCCAGTGCCTGTCCTGCCAGTCCTCTAAGATACATCGACACACACGGGCTCCCTTACAAACCTTTCCTGTACCCAAAGGACGCTTCCAGGTAGTGCACCACGACATCGTGGGACCTCTTCCATCATCCTGTGGCAACACCTACATCTCCACCTGCATTGACCGTTTCACCAGGTGGACAGAAGCCATTCCCATGCCTAATGCTACAGCAGAGTCAGCTGTCCGCGTCTTCCTGTCTGGTTGGGTCTCCCATTCGGTCCTCCCATGACTGTCATCACTGACAGAAGAGCACAGTTTGAGTCACAACTCGTGCATAGTCTCCTACAGTTTCTCGGCACTTCCAGGCACCGCACTACTGCTTACCACTCTCAATCCAACGGCATGGTAGAGCGGTTTCATCCGCAGCTGAAGGACGCCATCAAGGCACAGCACGACCCCTACAGCTGGATGAATGCTCTTCCCTTAGTGCGCCTTGGCATCCGCACTACACACAAAGAGGACATGGACTGCAGCCCAGCAGATCTCACCCTAGGCGAGACCCTTCACCTACCCGGGTTTTTCTCACTTACTCCTGACCTTGACCACTTCACTCCTGCTGACTGTCATGACCTGCTGCAAACACTAAAACAAGCAGTTTCTGCACTCAAAGCTACTGCCCCACGCCAGCCTTCCCATCGCCCTGAACCCATCCCTCCTCCACTACTCACTGCCGAGTATGTCTTCGTCAGGCGTGATGCTCACCGAAATCCACTTCAACGCCCCTATGACGGACCCTTCCCAGTTTTTGCACGGTCAGTGAAGTTTCTGACGATCATTCGCATTGGCAGACACGACACCGTCAGCATAGATCGAGTGAAGCCGGCCACCTTACCCGATGGGCCCCAGCCCAGCGTTGCCCCCAACAAACCACGCCTGCACCAGTCTGCCCACAGTTGCCACTTGCAGCACCACCTTGTCCACAACAGTTCTATGTGCCATCCTTTCATTCTCAGGTACCTACTGCTCCTGATGAGGATCATGCACCTAGCCCTGTGGACACAGACATACCACCCAGGGCCCCCAAAGGCTGTGCACCTGCTGCCAAAAAAAACCACATTCCCCCCAGCAAAACACTCCTGTGCCCCCTTCACCTGCCTGGTTTCCATTGCTGCCTGCAGCACCCTCTTTTGCCCCTCAGGTACTTACTGCTCCTGATGAGGATCCTGCATTCGGCCCTATGGACCCAGACACCCCACCCAGCGCCCCCGAGGACTTTGCACCTGCCGAGAGAGAAGCACCACATTCCTCGCCTGTTCCTCCCGCCGTTCAACCTTCTCATATCTACAACCCTCCTTCTCCCTTTGCTTCTCCCACAGATTTTGTGTAACTCGACGCAGTCATCACCCGTAGCGGCTGAGTGGTTCACATCCCTGCCCGTTATGTCTCACATGTGGGATACAACCCTGCCGACAACAAGTTTCCTGCAGCGCTCGGAGGGGAGGTGGAGTATTGTAGTGGATACTCTCCCCTACAATTGCTAATTGGTCACTTAACATCTGCTTACCAGCCAACCAGCGGCGAGTTCCACAAATCAGCCCTCCCTTTCGAACTGTGCGGTGATTGGTCAGTTGCCGCCTTCATCTTAGCCAATGAGCAGCATTTCTCATCTTTACATTTCGACTCTTGATCCGGCAGAATGATATAAATCGCCGTGAGGGCAGACAACACCAAGCTTTTACGCAGAGAAGACCTTTTCTAGAAAAGCTCCAGATGGTCGGTCGGTCCCAACCCTCCCCCACCCCCCACCTTCCCTCCCTACCAGAGAAATGTTGGGTGAAAAAACTAATTTTAACTTTTAGTAACAAATAATACCTCAGACTAAAGTTAGGATAATATAATTGACATTGCTGGATTCCTTGTAAGACCAGGAACATTTTGAATATAAATGTCATATATTTTGCACAAAAGATAACATATTTACTCAGAGTAAACATTACATCTAAAATTTGTATGTCTAATGCAAAATCTATGATGTTTATATTCAAAATGATCATCAAATTGTAAGAATTCCAGCAATGTAAATTATATTCTGACCGGGTAATTTGTATGAATTTTATGAGCTAAATAAAAAAAAAAAATTATACTTCACGCGTATATGGGTAGATGGACCGCGTAAAGTGAAAGTTCGGTTCTGGCGAGGCACCGCGTATATGAGAAATCGCGTAAAGTGAAACCGCGTAAAGCGGGGTACAACTGTACAGAAATATTTTGTTCTAACAAATGTTTTTCAGTTATTGACACTCTTTCTCACCCTAGGTTTAAACCTTAAGTCACTCAAGAAACTTGTTTAAAAAAAGTAGAAAAATTTAGTTGGAAAGGAGTTTTAGGGAGTGTGGGCCTGATTATGCATCTAGTCCCAGGCCCAGTGCCAGCTGTCAGCAGCCCAGTGTTGTGTCTGTTCTCGACCCCAGGCTGGGTATGCCTGGGGATTGAATCGCCAACCCATGGAACAGAGGCTAGCGTTGTATCCATTCGACTGCCGCATCTTAAGTCCATATCTAATCAACAAGCAATACAGCATATGTTAATTACAGTGTACTGTACCTCCTTAAAAACATGGTACAAACTCGTAACTTTTTTCTTAATAATGTTAATTAATGAAGAATTTCTTTTATTTTCTTTGTCTTTGCAGTGCTAATTGTGTAGAAAACTTTACTTGGATTTCACTGCTTAGATACTCCTGGCAGTCCCAGACCTCCAAACTGGAACTTCATGCTGCTCACAGTTAGTGTCTTGTGGTTTTTGTATTAAAGAATTCTTGTTAGTGACATCACTTTGATATACAGTACATTCAGTTTTCTGATAATGAGGTACAGAATTGCATTCCTGAGGCATATCACATTATGGAGAAATGGGCATTCAGGGGTTTGAGAGTGGTAGGTTCAAAAACACTAACATGACTGACACTTTGCTCTATGATTTGCTGTATTTTTTTCCTTAATAATTTTCACCACTTATCAGCTTACTAGCTGTTTGGGTGGTTTGTCTGTCCAGTGTTAGTACAGAAGGAAACCAGAAGCTAAGAAACCTGTGATTTTTGGTGGGGTCACACTGAATAACACCCTTCTCTCGTGTGTCCGGGCTCAAACCCTTGACATATTAGCGAGAGATATGCATGTTTTTACTGTACCACCAACCACCTTCATTGTTAGTTTTTATTTATTTTTTATAATAACTTTATTATTCATTAATAACATAGAAATATGAAAAGGGGGAAAAAGCTGTTACAGTGTGTTATTCAACTTTACTAAGCTATAAAAATTGTAGCTGTGAAGGAGGGTGAAAAGGTAAAATGGTGAAATTTGTGAAGTGTGACTTAATGAACAGTTTTTAATAATAAAACCTTTTTAAATCAAAACATTTCTGACCGTACAAAACGCACATATAACTTATAAAAAATGTGTGAGACAAGTGATATAGGGTAAATCACAGTCGGTGATAACACGTGAGATATGTATGCAGGCTGAACAAAGACTGAGGCATAAGAGGTTACCAAGTCTGACTTTCCTGTCATTACCAGATCCCTTGAGATTCATTGCCAAGTCATATGTTTCAATATCAAATTTTTTAGCATATACTTGTACGTACAGTAATACATAAAAAAAGGAAAACAGTAATTAGTCTAATAGCTTACCTAAATTTAACTTGAGTGTAGGTAATGTTGTTTACCCTGATTCAATAATAATTTAGTCATGCAGGGTGGCTCACCACAGTGATCACACATGTTACTGTGAATTTATTCAGGGTTATTACCAAATAATTATTATTCATTACCAAATTAACTTTTCATTTCCAAATTGCCATCGAGGGTAGCACCTAGAAGTGTCCACCAGCGTCTCACCTTGTGTGATGCTACACTGAGACAGCTGTACAACTGCTTATTCCTACTTGCACAACATACTTATGTTTACTCAGTCGCATTATACCCAATTTGCATCTACATTGTAAAACAGGTGTTCCCCAATACATTTGTCACATTATAACCAATTAGCATTATTAAAACGCATGTTATAGGACAACAGACTGTACTGTTTATGGTTTTGATTTACAGTGGTCCCTCGGTTAACGAGATTTCGGTAAACGAGTTACCTTCCATAAGATTCTTAACTTCAGTTAACGAGCAATCCCTCGATTAACGAGTTTCTTACGAGCCGACCTCAACATGTTTTCGCTTGCATTTGGCGGTCCACCAGCTGTAGTATTAGTCCGCCAATACAGTAATCGGTTCTAGGGCTTAAATTCCTTACCATTTAGCAAATATCAAGAAGTTTATACTATTCAAAAATTTTAAAAGTTTAATATTAATTTTTTTAGTCATTTTAACAATTATTGAACATAATTGAAGGTAGGGCTACTAGTTTGTGGCACGCCATCCAGCCTGCCAACACAGCATACAGGCGTCAGTCTTTGTGTCTTTTCAGTGGAGGTAACATCTTGCTTGAGACTCTCTTCAACTAAATGCTTTTTTTATGCGTTTGCAATTAAATTATTGGTCATTTTGAAATTTATTTTACATATTGACAATATATAATGCAGTGCATTGTTGATTTAAAGAAAATAATCTTGAATTACACCAAGAGAACTAAAATTTTATGGGTGAAATGACACCATGGGGTGACTTCTCTTCCACCCCAATGCCTTCTCTTCTCCCTTCTCCTCCACCCCCCATTCTAATTCCCATCATCATCATCATCATCCAGGAGCCTTCTACATACACACCTCAAAGTAAGAGTACTTTTCTACCTTTTTGGTTGAATTTAGGCAATTTTCGGTGAGCTGGAACCAATTACCCAAAAACCCATTGAAACAATGGTTTCGGTTAACGAGTTTTTCGGTTAACGAGTTTTTCGGTCAACGAGTTTTCGGTTAACGAGTTTTTCGGTTAACGAGTTTTTCGGCTAACGAGCAACCTGCTGGAACGGATTGTGCTCGTTAACCGAGGGACCACTGTACACACAAAAGCCAGCTAAAAAAAAAAAAAGTTTTCGAAAAGTCCGGATTCTCGGGTGGTCTGGATTTCTGGCATCCGGATTTTTGGACTTTTACTGTATTTTTTACTTAAGAGGTATGCATAGTACTGTACTGTATTGTATATGGAGGGTAAAGGTATTAATACCCACAGATTATTACGGTAATGTATCTTTACTAATTAATGAAAAACAAATAAACCATTTTGTATCATGAATGAGGCAGTACAGTAGACAAACAATCAGTGAGAGACTACCCTTTGGGGGAGGGGGGTGGTGCTGTCACATTTACCCTCCAATGTACCCTTTCCCCTAACTTCTCATGAAGCATTTGCAAAGTAGCAGACACAGCCTACTTTCAAAAATTAACCTTTCTTGCTTTCTTTCCAGCAAACTCTTCTATCAGTTCAGAATAGCACCAACTTGATGCCAGTTTCTTTTCGATGGAGAGACATACCATATATGGCTGCGTATAAACCGACTTTTGAAGCCCAATTTTTAGTGTCCAAAGTTAGTGGGTCAACTTATATGTGGGGTATAAAATGATGACCTCTAAAATCATGACCGTAAGTGAGAGTACAGGTTGTACCTCTCTAGTCCGGCAACCTCGGGACCTGACCGGTGCCGGACCATGGAAATTGCCGGACCATGGAAATTCACCCTTTTCCTGGATAGATAGTGAATTGTGCTTATGCTTGGAAGCACTAGCACCACTTTCTCTGCATCATGGTCTCTTTGAAGACATATATAAGGGTTAAATGTTGTATAGTAGCTTCTCAAATTTCGCGAGTTTTTAATTAACGTATTTTATTGGAACACACAAAAAACAAATAAATAAAAATTTTGACGGCGGAAACTTGAATTTCGACGGGTTTGAACAGCCCGCCAACGTGCAGACGACGTGCATAATCGTGTAAACAGCGTCATTTCTCTTATGTACAAAAGCTTCATTATTGTTTATTACTGAATGTCTTTTTTATTGAATTAATGTTTATATGTGCAAAATGAGCAATACAATTCATTAATAATACGTAGAAAATTAAAACACATGAGGAAATGACACAGCATTGTTTTCGTTGATTACAAAACCAGTGACTGACTGGTTCTACATATAAAACTGAAGAAAATAAGACCTTGGTTGTAGCTGTAGTAAAATTAATATGGTTGTTTTAAGTAATGTTATTTAATGTTAATAAATGGAACAATAGAAGTAGCTAACGATAATGGTAAAGAAAAAGAGAGATCGCATATGTAAGTGCGCATGCGCACACGTGAAAACATATGGTCATTACTTTACATAAGAATATGAAAGCAACACTTATTTACTGTTCATATATATTTTAATTAATGTTTCTGAATTTGTTTTTATTGAATTAATATACGTGTGTGCAAAATTAACAATACAATTTATTAATAATACGTGGAATATTAGAGGAGACGAGACCGCTGCCGGCATTGTTTATGTTAAAGCTTACGAAACCAGTGACTGATTGGTTCTACATATAAAACTGAAGAAAATAAGACCCTGAGTTTAGCTGTAGTAAAATTAATGTAAAAAATGAATATGGTTGCTTGAAGTACCTGTAATGTTATTTAATGTTAATAAATGGAACAATATAAGTAGCTAACCATTAATGGTAAAAAAAAAAGTGAGACTGCTCGTATGTAAGTGCGCACATGTGAAAATATATCGTCATTACTCTACATAAGAATATGAAAGCAACACTTATTTACTGCTCATATATATTGAAGGGTTAAATGTTGTACTCTGTATAGACAAGCACAGAGAGAGAGCAGCCGAACTGCCGGATGTAAACAAACCTTAATTTCCCCCGGCTTTGTCGTTGTTGTTTTTTTACGGGGATTAGCCCACCCGGGCATAGGTCACTGACCCACATTGGGGCCTGAGGGGCAAAAATTTAATACTCCTGTAATAATAATAATAATAATAATAATAATAATCAGATTAAAAAAAAAAAAGAAGCTGCCTATCTACCTATTGGACAAACTAAAATCGTTCCGGACCACAGAATGCCGGAATAGAGAGGTACAACCTGTATTTCATATCACAACCTTCATATTTACCTTTAATATAATTTCTCTTTCTATTATGGATGAAATAAAGTTTTTCTCAGTAGTTTTATTTTAATGCCTTTTGTTGTTGATGGCTGTGTGTGGACTGTGGTGGAATGAGCAGGAAGTCAACTGAGTTCAGTGTTGTTGTGATTGTTGGGTCAGTCACTAATGACGTTGTGTGTGACGTCTTGTATAGAGTGGCTTGTTTGACTGTTTATGTATGTGTTTTGATGGTTGACTTGGTCCTTCACAACACTTGACAGCTGCTGGAGTTGGGGAGTCAACTTATATGGTAGGATACACCTCTATGACCAAATTTTTTTGCTTGAAAAAGGGGGTCGACTTATAGGCCAGGTCGACTTATACGCCGCCATATACGGTAGTTGTCCTTAGATAGCTTTTTATCAATTTGAGTTTAGAAAAACTTCGCTCCCTGATGCCACTGTGACTGGAAATGTTATCAAAATTTGATACGCTATTTCTGCATTAGGGAAGGAACCATTGAGAGATTTTAGACACTAAAGAACTTGAAGTGCATTTTTTGTTTTTTTGGGAATGAGTTGTAGGAGTACGTACTCGAAGCTCTGAAACCAACTCTACTCCATCAATAATGTGAGAACTTCCTGTAGGTTATGTATCTAAGCTACTGTGCCGAGTAGCAACCTTGTATATAAGCTACTGTGCCGAGTAGCATCTATGTATATAATTACGTGGCAACATTGCCCCGAGGCTGCCATATGGCAAGGCAGTCTCAGTCTGACTTCGTGGGCCGTGCATGGCACACGCTAGTCACCACTTGTATTTCTCCTATCCGAATAAATGGACTTCAGTGTTACCCGGTGTTTCCCTACCCATCACTGCCTTCTTCAGGGAACACTTGGAACCTTCATGGCACAGTGAGTAGGATCTGTGGACTTACAAGTGTGTGAACAATGGACAGTTAGCCGGCGATGTGCATGTGACTCTTAGTGTGTGCTGTGTTGTGTTGCGTTGTGTTTCGCTGCGACGTGCAGCGTTGCTCCGTCACAGTGCGTTTTAGTGATGGTGGCAGTGTTAGTGTCAGTGTATCAGTGTGTCTAGAGCTGAGAGTTGAGCATTGGCCTGTTTTATGTGGTACCCACGGAGCACGCAGGCGTACACCCTTCTCGTGTGACATCCGGGGAGACACTGACCGTCTTGCCTCCGCGAGCCACCACGCTCTGCTGTCTCAGACACACACACACACGCATGCACGTGCCTGGCGCTCCTCTCGGAGCTGCCAGGTCAACTGTTAAGTTGACCCATACCAGCTCCCTCCCCTGAACCCTCCTCCCCACCGGAATATCAACAAGTTCACGCTAGAAGTTGCTATTTCATTTAGGAAAGGAATGGAACCAGTGTTAAACAGAGGTGAACGGTGGTGAACAGTGCTTGAGTCAGTGAGAACAACTCAGCAGTGGCAGTGGTACCCAAGTTGACCTTCACACAGTGAGGTCCCAGGTACTCAGTGATAACGGCCCGACCCAACAACAGCGATGTGTTAATCCGTCTACGATAGGAAGGCCTGGGACCACACCCCACTCATAGAACACCGTCTGTGAGGGAACTACTACACCACGTGAGGCCCCTCATAACATCATCTGTGAGGGAATTACTACACCACGTGAGGCCCCTCATAACACCATCTGTGGGGGAATTACTACACCACGTGAGGCCCCTCATAACATCATCTGTGAGGGAATTACTACACCACGTGAGGCCCCTCATAACACCATCTGTGAGGGAATTACTACACCACGTGAGGCCCCTCATAACACCATCTGTGAGGGAATTACTACACCACGTGAGGCCCCGCATAACACCATCTGTGAGGGAATTGCTACACCACGTGAGGCCCCTCATAACACCATCTGTGAGGGAATTACTACACCACGTGAGGCCCCTCATAACACCATCTGTGAGGGAACTACTACACCACGTGAGGTCCCTCCTAACACCATCTGGGAGGGAGTTACTACACTACATGTCTGCTGTTCAACACCTACATTAATCTGTATGTTCACTGTGTGTTCCTTCACCTTTCTCTAATGAAGGCTTTTGTTAAACCACCAATGTATGTAATAAGTCATTTATGTCCAATGTATATTTTTAGCCTTCGGGCTGCAGAACTTTTTCAATAAACCGTTAATTATTATTATTATTATTATTATTATCACTCACGGACAGAACAGTGGACTCTATGCGTTATTTCTGCGCTGTTTATGTCATATATATGTTGTTCGAGCTGATGAGGCGCCACTTTATATACTAAACAGCACAGTCAAGCATAGTAAGATGGGCGGTAAGAAGGGACAACGTCAAGATGGGAGACACGACTCCCCACCATCTTCTCCTCTACCGGGCACAGATGGAGCTTCTGCGCCAACCGCCCCTCATCCTTCACCTACAGCGACGGACATTGCTACAATTCTGAGGTGGGTGAACGACAGAGACGAGCGACGCCGAGAGATGGAACTTCAGAGGGAGGAGACACGAAGAGAGGAGGAAAAGTCGCGTTTCGATGCACTATTGGCGACCCTGGCGCTAACCCACCCTCCCTCACTCGCAGGTTTCGGGCACCAAGGCGCCAATATCCTCCCTCCTCCACCATACCAGCGTCCTCCATGTACTCTTGCTACTCCAACAGCTCCCAAGGCATGTGTCCAACCCCCACCCGCCCTCTCACCAGACGTCACGTTTCAGCTTTTTCGTGAGTGGAGGCGGCGTTGGACAGATTACTCCACGATGGTGGACCTTGACAGCATGCCTCCAAACAAACAGCTCATCCAACTGCAGATGTGTTTGTCGCTGGAGACCCAGAGAGTTTTGGAGCACACGTTGCAAGTGCCTCCCGATTCTACCTCTTCAGTGACGGATGTGCTCGACCTTTTGCAGGAGCACGTTAAGGGTCAGAATAACGAGGCTTTGTGTCGCCACGCCTTCACCAGCTGCAAGCAGGCGGAGAATGAATCCTTTGACGACTTTTTTGTACGCTTGAAGAGTTTGTCGGAGGAGACCGACGTCTGCAAGGCGCACAGCCGGAAATGTGAGGAAGCCTGGATCAAGCATGGGATCTTGACAGGTGTCAGACAAGAAGAGTTGGTGCAGCGACTCATTCCCCTGGACGCTTCCTCCACACTCCAGGTGGTAGTGACTGAATGTCGGTCATACGAGGCCACCAAGTCCGCCACCTCTGCCTTACGGGCCCCACCTGCTGTGAGAGCTATCTCACAATACAAGAAGGGTAAGAAGGCGGCCAACAACGTGACGGCTGCCGCACGTTCTTCCACGCCCCCGCCTAGTACTTCCTGTGGCAGATGTGGAAAGCAGCATGGCCCCAAGACATGCCCGGCCGCTGACGCACTATGTCGTGGATGTGACCGTAAGGGGGGCCACTGGTCTAACACAGACAGGTGCCCTGCACGAGGCCGCAAGTGTCAGGCCTGCGGTCACTATGGACACTACGACAAGTGCTGCCGCCAACCCAAGCCCAAAAGCCCGAGAGGAGGAATAAAGCAGCGCACTTTCCTCGGGGTGGTTCGCACGCAGCCCCCTTCAGATGCCCACGCAGCCCCAAGCAGCAGCTGAGTCACATCAGGAGGGTGGACTCGACCACACTACCCAGGGCTACCCCTTCCCCTACCATCCGCGTCGCCGTCACACACGGTGATGTGTCGGGTCACATCGAGGTGATACCGGACACCGGCGCTGATACTACGGTGATAGGCCTGAAGCACCTCCAGAAACTGGGCCTCACCAAACGCGACCTGGGACCACCGCTGCAGCTGCAGTACTACAATGTGGACGGTTCCCAGATGCCGGACACTGTTGGCTCCTTTCAAGCGGAGATCACTTACGGCGACAGGTCGTGTCACGGATGGATCGACGTGCAGCCTACTCTCGCTACACCCTTGTTGTCGTGGGAGCACTGCAAGGAGTTAGGCGTGGTGCCCAGAGACTTTCCTGAGCAGATCCCAGCCGCTCGGTACACCGCCAGCAGGGTGCGTGAGTCAACGAGCGACGCTCCTGGCACTGCTGCACAGAGCTGCCCAGAACCCGCATCCACTCCCACCCCCACAGGACGCTCCCCTGCCCAGATCCTGTACGGTCACCCTCTCCGCTCTTGCGCTACGCGTGCCCAGGACGCCAAGGCTCGGTATGACGACTGTGCCCACCCTCTTCAGCCACTGGAAATTGGTGCCCTTGTCCTCGTCCAGGACCCGACGACGACACGTTGGGACAAGGTGGGCATAGTGATGGGCATCGGCCGGTCGCGGGACTACAAGGTCAGGATGCCGAGCAGCCGTGTCTGGTGGAGGAACCGCCGCTTCCTCCGGCCAGTCCCACCCCCTGCTGCTGGCCCCCTGACCGAGGACGAGTCCCCTACATCTCACGAGGATCCGCCCCACAGTGCACCTCGACGCTCGGAGCGACTTAGGACTAAGAAGTCCGCTCAAGACAAAGACTATGAGCGTGAGGGGGGAGGGAGATGTAGGTTATGTATCTAAGCTACTGTGCTGAGTAGCAACCTTGTATATAAGCTACTGTGCCGAGTAGCATCTATGTATATAATTACGTGGCAACACTGCACGTGTTATGTGGCAACATTGCCCCGAGGCTGCCATATGGCAAGGCAGTCTCAGTCTGACTTCGTGGGCTGTGCATGGCACACGCTAGTCACCACCTGTATTTCTCTTATCCGAATAAATGGACTTCAGTGTTACCCGGTGTTTCCCTACCCATCACTGCCTTCTTCAGGGAACACTTGGAACCTTCACTTCCTATACTCAATGACTTGTTCAAAGTAGAGTTGTGGTCAGCTGGGTACTGCACAGCTCCCATAATATGTGTTAGAACCGATTGCCAATGTTCCTCTTCTTTATTCAAGTCTTGTAACATCCGTGCATCTATGGTATTCATTGAACACAATCTTCTTTTCACACCCATCCATTTGGTTAAGTTGAACAAGTGTTCATTTGATGACTCATGAGTTTTTAGTCTTTCCCTAAAATGCTTCCAATCAGCATAGCCTTCTTTTACTAGTTTATGTGTTGCATTTGAATTTTATATTTACTAACCAGAAGAGCTCAGGTACCGGGTCACCCACCCTGGCTCACCCCCCTCAGGATGGCTCTGCCTTTACCTTATATGTAGCCTTAGCACTATCTTAATTAATACAGTGTCCTTTCTTCAGCATGCAGATAATTTCCCGGCTAAGGCAGGCTCAGATAAAGTGTTCTATTAAAGGGAATCTCCTGGGTCACCTGTTCCTTCCCCTCTGTAATGAAATGGGATTTTAAAGTGTGATCCTTTCCTGTTTGGGTAATTGAGTAATCCTTATTTTATACATTGTACTGTTATATAACTTGATTTATATACTGATTGCTAATATGTATTACTAATTTCCAGGAGTTATTGACTATGATTATGAATACAGTGGTTGTGGCCGGTCGGACTTTGTAATAACACCCACTACTGAACGTACTATGCTTGCTCTCCTCACTGCTGTTATTGCACACACACCACCACTCCTGATTGGTTAGTTTTAAAGCTAAGACAACTAGTTCTATAAATATTGAAATAAACCATTGTCTGTAACTAGCATATTATTTTTACTTTAAGAATATAGTAGACCCTTGATTATTATGGTTTTTTGATTGCAAATTTATGTTATTCATGATTTAGTACAGTCGTGTCTAATCTTACGCGGGTATTACGTTCTGATGAGGGTACGTAAAGCCAAAAATGCGTTTAGTCAAAATTCCCCTAGAAAATTCCTTAACTCACTCAGAAAGTACATGGTTATACTGTATATATCTGTCAATAGTGAATCTGGCAACTCGGCTGGTTAGACCCATTTCTGTTTAAATGTGCATACATAGAATGTGCCAAAAGATTATAAAATAATTTTCATAAGGTCAAAAACATAAAGAGAATTAATCATTATGTGTGTAGAAGCAAGCACTGAGGGTGGGAGGGAGAGAGCTACAGCTGGCGTTTCCTCACTCACTGCTCCGCTCTCTCACCATCATCTGCTGCTAAATGGCAATGCAGTATTTTTTCCTTTATTTATTATTACTTATATTTTTTATTCTTCACATTTACTGGTACAGTGTCTATTATTTTATGTACAAAAAATAAGTTCTTCCATACGCATACTGCCATGCATCCAGCTCGTGACACAGTTCAGACAATCATCCAGCTCAGCTGACTCACAGACATGTGGTGGGCACCGTGGTGGGTGTGTCTGCCATGACGTCACATCGTGCATTTAAAGCCCAGTAACCCACCGCCTCATAATACATTTACTTCTCACATATGCTTTTTATTTTCATATTTTATAGTTTTATATTATATTTCCATATTTCTAAGCCACATTAGAGTATTGTAATTATTTTTCACAACTTTTATTGTTTCATTGCAAGTAACAATATATGAGGTAGCTGGGCTGGTGTGTCGGCCGCGTAGTTTATAGTCAAGGCCTAGAACCACCCCCATAAACGTTCACTTCTCGCACATATACACCCGTGCTCTTCGTTTTCTTGTTTTATATTATATTTTCTTGATCCTTAAGCTCGGGTTAGGGTGCTGCTGGCAGTAACAACCCCCCCCCTCCCATGGATAAACCTAGAGAAAAAAATATCAACTTTTCCAAAAATAATAATAATAATAAAATATATAATAAATAAAAAAATAATGAAAAAAAAATGGCAGGAAAATAGGCGGACGTTCTGGAATGGTAATGCATGGTGCCATTGTTACATACAGTATAATGAAACAATAAAGTTGTGGAAAAATCATTTCAATACTCTAATGTAACTTAGAAATACAGAAAAGATAATATGAAACTATTAAATAAGAAATATGAAGAGCATAGGTGTGTATTTTGTGTGGGAGGTGATCATAAGTGTGGAAGCAGTGGACAGTTTATCAGTAGCGCATCTGGTGGCTCAGCTGGTTAGGCCTATTTCAGTTTAAATGCCACCACACAACCACCTCTGCTGTAAGTTTACTTTATCCTCTTTGTCACTTGATTGTCAAGTTGATTTCAGCAGAGAATATTTTGGAAAAATAATGAAAGCATAAAAAAGCTAAAATTGTGAAAGATGGCGCAGCTCAGTTGAGATGCGCTGCTTCTGCCAACTTTCCTTTAGCAACTTTTCTTAAGGGTCAATTGGCAGAGGCACAACCCAAACCCCCTCCCTACTCAGTACACGCGACAACTGAGGCCGAGAGAGACGCGGGTGGAAGTATCTCCCCCAGCCATATGCTCCTACACTCATTTCATCATTCTTTTTTTTTCCTAAGCCAAGCGCATATGCTTTTTTTTCCCCCTAAGCCAAGCACGTAAGCTTGAATGCTCGTAAGATGAGACAAGACTGTACATGTATACCAACTCTTCATTCACAATTCCTGAGCTCTAGTATTCATGGATTTCCAAGGGAAATCCATGCATCTTGAGGGCAAAAAATTTATTTTAAAGCATGAAAAACATTATACAGTCGACCCTCGTTAATTCGGACTAATAGGGGGGGAAGGGTGTCCATTTTAGCCGATTGTCCGAATTAATGGATTTAGGGGTTAATATTGCATTATATTTCAAAGTCATTGTTTTCGTCACGATTTTATCCCACTTTCCACTGTAATACGTACATAATTTCAGCAAAAATATTACATTTCTGTGAATGTATTATATCAAGCACAGTATGAATAGAATACCATTGTAAAATAACAGTATTTTAACCGAAAACTACTAAAAAATCGAATAACATCTCAAGAACATCGGAAGCTTAGGTAAAGTCTTTTGTTTTCGTCATGTATTTTATCCTATTTTACATTGAAATACATCACGTTTCAGCAAAACTACTATTTATTTCCAAGAATATATTCATTCAGGTGCAGTTTAGGTAAAATATACGTGTGATGTAACAGTTTTTTAACTGAAAACGATTCGAAAAACACGTACCCTCTAGCCCTGTTCATGGAGAGGACTGGGAGAAGCTGTTTGGTGCTGCAGATGATGACAAGGAAAATGATTTGGATGAATTTTAATGAAAATATTCAGAAATATGGTATCGTAGTATTTATTCAAGTCAATTAGGATAGAATATTATTGTAATACAACAGTTTTTTAACTGAAAACCAATTGAAAAGCGATTACGGTAACATCTTTTGAACGAAAGAAAGCGAAAGTCATTGTTTTCGTCATGATTTTATCCCACTTTCCACTAATACCTTCGTCATTTCAGCAAAAATATTACATTTCCGTGAATGCATTATATCAAGCCCAGTATGAATAGAATACCCTTGTAATATAACAGTATTTTAACCAAAAACTATTAAAAAAACGAGTAACTTCTCTAGAACATCGGAAGGTTAGGTAAAGTCTTTTGTTTTCGTCATGTATTTTATCCTATGTTACATTAAAATACATCACGTTTCAGCAAAACTAGTATTTATTTCCGAGAATATATTCATTCAGGTACAGTTAAGGTAAAATATACATGTGATGTAACAGTTTTTTAACTGAAAATGATTCGAAAAACACGTGTACCGTGTAGCTGATACTCAACAGCTGGTGGTGCGTCATGTGTCGTTGTAAACAATAGGAGGTTGAAGTAGATTACCGGGTATTATATTAAGTGTGAAATATCAAAAAGGTTTTTATTACCGGTATTTTTTGTAGATCAATGAGAACTGTGATACCGTATATGATATGATAAGTTAGCCTGTGCTAAGAACTTCAACATAGACTACTGAAAACACGTTGTAAGGTAATTTAGCCTATTGTAAGTTGGTGAGCTTCATTTGCTGAAGGAACTGCACAACTTTTCATTACTAATTGGTACAAATTTTACGTTTCCATTGTTTACTGGCAGTAAATGGTAAATATTTTTCATGTCTGAAGCTAAAAGTTGCATCCCCCCCACACTAGTGGTGGAGATGTTACATTTGACCAAAAAGACGCTGGTGTTTTATCCCAGCAGTGGGTGGACCAGCATTTTAGCTTAAGGTCTGCGTAGGTAATATTCCTACAAATCTTAAAAAAAAAAAAAAAAAAGGTTTGTTCAGATTTTGTCCGAATTATCCGAAATCCGGATTAAAGGGGTCCGAATTAACAAGGTTCGACTGTAATAAACAAAATATGATTTACTGTTAAAGTCTACAGAGGATAAAACCACATTCATTTCCATATACCACTTTCAAATTTAATTAAAATTCAGAGAATGTTAAATTTCATACAATGGTCCCTCGGTTAACGAAATATTGATTAACGAATTACCTTCCATAAGAATCTTCAATTTGGTTAAGGAAAAAATATTTGATTAACGAAATCCTTAGGAAAATCACGTTATGTTTTGAACACCAGCTGATAAGCTGAGGAGGACCTCAGCCAATTCAGTAATCTCTACTATGCTTACATTCGTTTCCAATGGAATAAATATAAAAAAAATTGTGCTCTTTAATATTTGTGCATTTTTTTATTGGTCATTCTAAAATTTAGCCATACAAGCTCTGTCTACATAAAGTTTTTCAAATATTATTTTTGGCTCGATATATGTAACTTTATTCATTTATTGAAACTCATTTACATGCACACACTGTCCTAAGGACAAAGCTGAACTGTACATGTAATCGGAATAATGTACAAAATGATTACTAAAATTTTTTTCTTTTTTTTTTTACGGGGCTTAGCCCACCCGGGCACAGGTCACTGACCCACATCAGGGCCGGGGGGGCGAAAATGTAATAATAATAATAATAATAATTCATAGTAAATAAAATTTATAATAAAAAGTAAAATAAAATATTAATGGTAATAATAATAATAACAACACTGTGATAATAATAAATACAAAGAAATGTAAGAATGAAAAAAAATCAACAGTGAGAAATGCTATAGTATATGTATGTTGTTTTGTCATGTAATAGAAACAATTGAGACCCTATAATTGTGTGTAAATGAGGCAGAAAATCAGATCAGCAACCTGGGACTTGGTCACAATTTTCGTGATGCCATATGGCAGCAGGGTCTACCATTAGACAACACATTACGCTGCCAATGTCTAGTGCAAACTATGGCATGTTGACATTCAAATTAATCACTATCTTATAAGAATTCCAGCAATGTAAATTATATTCTCCCCGGTCACTTCTATGAAATTTTATACCGTATATCTCGGCCTACAAGACGGAATTTGAAAAAAAAAATCAGCCCAAAGTTAGGGGGTCGTCTTAAGCACCAGAGATAAAATTCTTACCTCTTAAATATTGCGGTTTAGCGTGTCAAGAGTGGTGATGGAAACATGGTAAACCACTCACAAGGTCCTACCACTAATTATTTTATACTGATACTTACGTTTGGGAAGCTGGATTAAAATGAAGATTACCGGTATATTAAAATAATAAAAATGTATTATAAACCTGTCTAACATACCGTAAAACAACAATATACCCCGGTAATAAACACAGTTGCTATCATCACCCCCCCCCCATTTGCCAGTGACAAGAAAGGGAAAGTGACCTTGACTGTGACC